TTTAAATTTAATTTTTAATTTAATTAAGTTAATTATATGAAAAAGGACTGCGCCTAGGCCATGATCCGAAAATGAAACTTCCGTCAATTCATTTACAATCCAATGAATACTGCAAATGACTTTTCTTAAGTAGCTTTTAAAATTTTAACACCTAATTGGAAAAAACGGTTTAGTCTTAATTTTTTTATTCGTATTAGTTTTTTACTTGTTTTTGCCTTCATTCTCGTCGTCGTATTCGCATTCTTCCTCGTACTCGTCTTCATTTTTGTATTCGTCTCAGCAGTCGTTTTCGATTTCGTATTCGTCTTTGTATTAGGTTTTAAATTCGCACGCGAAATCGTGTTCGTCTTAGTATTCATCTTTCCATTCGATTTCGTATTCATCTTTGTATGCTTTTTGCCTTCGTATTCGTGATCCTTCTCGTCCTCGTATTCTTCTTCACCTTATGTCTTTGTATTCGCTTTCGTTTTTGTCTACGCTTCTTTACGTCTTCGCTTTATTGTTCGTCTTTGCCGTCTTAGTCTTATCTTAGCCATACTATTGATCCTGGGTCCTAGTATGAGTATTATCTAGTCTGAGTCATGTCCATAGTTTTAGTCATAGCCATAGCCTTAAGATTAATCTTAGCCTTCGTCTTAATCTAAGCTCTAGCCTTAGTTTTCACTTCACGCTTAGTACTGGTGTTGGTTTCAGTCTGACTCTTAGCTATAATCTTAGTCTTAGTTAGGCTTAGTCTTAGTCTTATTCGTAATATCCGTCTTACCATTGCTCTTTGTATCAGCCTTAGTCTTAGACCGTGAAGAGGTATTGTAACTTTGGTCAGATGTTTGTTTGATAAGTGGAAGAAGAGATGGACCCATAAACAGTCATTCTGAAAAAATCAAGACTTCGAGCTGAGTCCATTTAGTCATTTCCATCTGCCTTCCATAAGTTTGTCAGTCTACTTGAATGCAAACTAGTCCCTCAGTTCTAGAGATATCCAACTAAAATTTGATACGCCGGCGCCATTTTTCAATGCATTAATCCTTTGTCGGTACTACAACACATATCTTCCATACAAGTAACTGTTCAGATATGAAATTTTGTGCTGTAACTTCGCTATTTAAGAACATAAAATTTTGCACTCATTCACTTAAGATGAATAAAAAATTGACAGTAAAATTTACCAAGAACTGGTAATTAATTTTTACTTCAAAATAGAATAAAAGTAATAAAAAAGGTCCAAATATTGTCTTATTGGTCACCCTCTGCATTAGCTTATATCAGGTAGAGAATTAGTCTTTTCTGTCAGTTGAAAAATTTACTGAAATTTAAGTTTACTGACCGGCTTGCGTTTTCACTGCTGGGTATTTACATATATATGTACATACATAGCATAGCATACTCTCCAAGAGCGTCAATGTGTCAACTTCAAGTCCCACTGGTATCGGCGTGCCTTCCAAATAGCCACTGATTGTGAGTAAAAGCTTCTGAACACCTACTTTGCCGCCTGCTCGTCATGCACTTTCACTTCCAATAAATAACAAAAAACAAGCAACTTAATTCCGCCATAAAGTGTTCTCTCAATAACACATACATACATCAATGCACGGACTTTACCACTTTATTGGTAGATCTACCAACTTTTTAGCTGTATTTTATTTTCTACCATTTTTACCAACAAAGGCTAAAAATCTACCGATATTTTCCGGGAAAAACAGAGATTTAAATGAACGCAGTGTATGCATATTTTGTCATCG